ATGTTTTCCGTATTTAATTTCTGTCCGATCGAATCTCAAGGTACGCATAATTTCACAAATTTTATTAATCAAACTAGGCTTTAGGCGTTACTCCAATTAAATTCGCGAATATTCCAAGCAAACTTTACTCCGAGTTGAGGAAACGATTAGGACTACGTATAAACGACCTATAAACACGAACCGCGAACAAGTACCGGTGCAGAGTTGAAAATTTAATCCGTTCGAGAGCGAGAGGCGAGCGTATGATAATTCGACGCTAAGAAATATAAAACCAGCACCGTGTCCAGCCAAGAATACCAATGAACCGATGCAATTACTGCACGCAGTTACGATCCGTCGAACTGACATCCTGAGCAGCGGAGTCCGATATTAAACGAAGTCCACGGGACGATATTTCGCGGCTCTACCGTCGGTAATTGCTTCCCGAAGACGTTCGATCGGTTTCTAGGATTTTCGAAAGACGATTCACCGAAGGAATACGAATAAGACGATCATTCCCAGACCACGGAACCAGCATTCCTTTCGTGATTCAACGACCTGATCGCAGAAGCGCGGATACTCATATTCAGATATTTTATTCTCAGGTAAAGAGAAGGGGGGAAGGTTAATTCCCGGGGTCAAAGATGTTCTTTCGTGAAAGCAAACAGTCGACCGTCCAATTTTCGTACCACGGCTAGACTACTATAGGGCGGAAGAGGGTTTTGCAAAGAGAGGAAGAGGAAGAGAAAAGGTCGGTGAATTTCTAGAGCCGTGGAGAAAGGAAGACGAGGTGAAAAGCGTTGGTAGCGTGTAAACATGTTTTTAACAAATCGATCCGAGCCCCGGTTTCGGTACCCACCTCCTGACAGTCAAACAGTCGCGTTTCAGGTTCCTGAGTGACAGTACGCCTTATCCTTGACAAGCTAATACCAAGCTACGTCGTTGAACAGAATAAAAGTAGAGGGAAGAGAGGGGATCGGCTTTGGAGTTTCGCGAACCGACCAGGCTCTTGCTGTCCCTTTCTCACCGCCTCGTCTTTCTGACAGGGACGTGTTAATCAAAATGTTAGACAAGCCACTTACACGGGCATCGTGACGTTCCCATTTAGCCCGCAGGATACGGGCCAGCCCCTTGCATCGTGCACGAGGATTTCGTGAGTGACGGAAAGATAAGCTCGCGGACGCCCGCTAATTAATAGTTATTACGCGAGACGATCATCGTCTATTTCGCGGAGAGACGTCCGAATCGAGCAGGGGGCTCGTGCTGCGAACGCGCATCGGCACCCTTTTCGGTTTTCAACTCAACTCGTGACTCGTGCTCGTAATCTATCTTATCGTGTACCGTCTTCTTAAATTTTAATTTTCATGCCCTTCGGCTCGATACGAAAACGCGCACGCGATCGCGAGCCTCGATACGCGTGTCTTATAAACGCATCGCGATGCATAGAGAGAAACGGAGAGTCGGAAAAAAGAACGGGCGATAAAGGGAAAAGAGGCTAAAGAAAAAAAGGGGTGGAAAGAGTTGGAGCAAAGAGATCGAGCGCCCCAAGGTATGCAGCCCGGCGAACTTGGGCGCGCGGATAGTAGCAAAACAAGCATCCCCCGGTCTCTTTCCCTCTTTTTCACCGGGCGTCTCGGTTTCGCTGTTGTTTGCCAAAGCGACAGAGTTGTTTCGGACCAGGCAGACGGTGGAACGAGCACGACCGGGGCAACGAGTGTTTGTCAAATGTTTGAACAAAATGTTTGTCGTATCCTGTGGACGCCGGCAGGCCAAATTAAATGCGAATGCCCTCTCCCCCACCCCCCGATTGCCAATATTCGAAATGTGTGTGCAGCGTCGCTGTTATTTGCAACGGCCGGAGACAAAGTCCGGGAGTGGCTATGACAGCCCTGCTCCGGATATAAATGCGATGCCGTAATCATGCTGCAGTGTATCGCGAATGCGTTCCATCGCGTTTCAAATAGTTGCCACGAATAACCCGATCTCCACCTTTTTCGACTTACGTTATTTAATTTCTATTAGCATTCGAATCGCTTTTCTCCCATATCTAGCTTTGCATAATTTTGCAAATTACAGAAAATCGTCTACAGTGACGTCTTCGGAATCAATCGTAATCTCAGTATCTCTTTGACGAAATTCAGCCCCTCGTCGAAAAGCGAACGGAATTGTCAGCAGATAATGAAGACGTTCCTACGATCGTCCGCAATCAGACGTACCCGTGTATGTATACCGTTATTACCCGTGGCAGCCAGCCACTGAAACGTTCAATTATCTACGGTGCCCGCGTCATGGCCCATCGGCCGTCTCATTCTGCCGTTGAAAAGAGGCTGCCTCGAAAGGTTGCCCGGAACGAACGTGAAACGTCGTTGCTGCGAGAAGATCGTACCATTCTCTCCTACCTCATCCACGCCTGTTCCCACCTTTCGGCAGCTTCGAACGATCGAGCAGATCCACGTGTCGCTAATCAGATCCTTCAAAAGCTCGCGATCTACCTTTTGTAACCGCGTCCACCTTGAACCGAGCGCGTATTTTGACACGGTGAAGAATGACGGACCAATTACGTGGCGCCGAGACGCTGACGCTTGAATGCACGCATTCCTTTCATAGACATTATGCTCGCTGCTGGAGAAGAGAGCCCCTCGGCGAAGGTTAACGAGCGATAAATCGCGAGGATCGGAAGCTTCCAATGCAAGGATGCCGAGTCTTCTATCGGGCTTCGAAAGGATCGAGATCTTGTCGCGTACGCGTCTTCAATGGAAGGTGGACTCGATAATTGACCGTAATTGAGGAAGACTTGTCATCGTGCGTTGCGAATCTCTGAGGCTGACGAATGAGAGATTCCTCGGTTCAACGTTTCTCAGATACCCTGTACGGACTGGTCTTATCGTATTTCGAGGTTCGAGGGCTAATATCTACTCGTACCGACCGCGAACACACCTTTAAGATGGCAATAAACGGAACATGCTCATATAACCACGGATTCTTCGTCTGCAGTGTTTCTCGTGCCGAGGCTGTGCTCCTTCTCCTTTGGACGGAACAGACGCTCGGCAAAGTTAGGCGAATGAAAAAAGTTAGCGGGAGCCCTCGAGGGAGCTCGCCTCCGAGTAGTTAGCAGACTTCGGAATAATCTTCATTGAAAAAGTTTGTCTAAACCTTAGAACGGGTACGGCTTGTGTGCTCGGCCGGATATGAAACGACCAAGGCAACTTGTGAGGATCTTCAGAGGGAAAACGCGACAACTTAACCTTCTATTAGGTCATCACATAAGTAATGTCCTCGCTGCTCTTGGATACGAATTTTTCTCGTGGTTTTTCAAGAATTTTCGGTCGACACAGCTGCGCCATTTGCATTCAGCCTAATCTTTAAATCCGTACCACCGAACGCAAACCGAAGCAACATTGACGACTAATACATATCACGGTTCAGTTTGAAGAGGCTCGTTTTTCAGAGGGTGATTTTTCGGTCAAGTTCTCTCGCGTAGCTTACCGCCAGGTAGAAGCGTATCTCACCTTGCGTCGAGTTTTCGTTTCTTTCGGCGAGAACAAAGGAAAACTCCGCTCCATTTAAAGCTTCGTAAACAAATACGTTGTTCTTGGAGAAAATCGTGAGCCGGAATACTGATTTTCGCATCTGCGCTTCTGTATACCCGACCACAGGTGGGTGATGTAACGCGTCCGTTTAACAAAAGAATATTTTGACACTCGACGCTTTAGCGTTAAAATTGAAACAAAATGCAACAACTTGGTGCTAACATTGATCGGTTACAAGACGGATTAACTTTTATCCGATCACTTTTTGTTATATCCACCAGAGAGAAAGAGAGGGAGAGAGTTTTTAATTGAAAAATGACTCGGTCAACAGGTTAATCAAAAACCGATCTTTCAGCTGAACGTTGAAAATCAAGCTGAATGATCGATGCCTTTAAAGTCCATGCACAATCGGTCACGGTTCCGTCTCGTTAAAACGAACGATTGCCTGAGACAAATAACTCCAGAGTGATTGACAGGCTTTATATGAAATTTCGAGTGGCTGACTAATAGCTAAAACACGATACACGACCCTGCATGCATCAACGGACCGCCGTGCATTCACATCTGCTTCCACGTTAATGAGGGAACGGTTAAGTATTCGATTCGATCCCGTGAAAGTCAAGGTCGTTGAATATACGAGCAAACGCGTGTTCTACATTCAAAATTAAGTAAACTGTTGATTGAAATTTCAGAAACCGGAATGATTCCCGGAATTTGCCGAGGAGAAAGTAAAATTTATTTATAAAATGCTTGATTCTAGGTAGGGGGCATAAAACTTACGACGTTTAATAATTTGGTTGACGCCACGAACATCTGCCGCTCTCCCGGCAACCCTTTGCAACTCCCTCCACCTTCTCCCCACCACGTCACGGTATTGTTTAATTAATCATGTTGTATTAATAAAAGCTTGCCTAATTGAATTCGCTGATTTCACACCGTTAATACGAGTTTCATTTAAATTGAATGAAGTATCGTTCCTCCTCCCCTTTCCACCGACTCCCAACTACCCCTATTTTGTCCACCCTTCTTTGCCATCCCCCACTGTACCCCTGGCATCGTCGCCTTGAAACCGGAGCCACCCTCAAATCGTTCTTTTTCTCTCGCTGTTTTATTGATCTACATTCCCTCCGGCTACAGTCCTCTAAAACGGTTTACTAAAAGGTAACCTATTTTTCATTGCCTCTACGACCGGCATACCGAACGATTTCTCCTCAACATTGGACCGTTCACGATCCACCAAATCATTATTCCAAGGGGATATCGAAACACGTTGTTAGAATGCTTGGTTTCACCGGAACCTGATATCACGATTATTTATTGAACTGTTTTTCTCAGGCAAAATTTAGCTGAGATACTTTGTAAGCATAATAATAATTTGATCTTGCTTTGGATACGTAAGATTGTTATCGAAGAATTATTTCTTCTTAATTTACGAGCTTCGTGTTTCTTTTAAATTTAATTTGAAATAAAAATAAATAAATTATCACTCACATAATATGTGTAGGTTGATCCGGTAACACTGAAGGCAATCCACCAAGAACTAAGAGGGAGCTTTGGGTAGGATGAATAATAGGCTAAGATGGCGAGGTCCTTAATTAGCGTGATTAAGTTGCAGGTGGTAGCAGACATCTATCTTGGTAGACGCTCCTAAGTGTTTATAAGAGGAAAATGTAAGACATAGGTAAACGAGTGGTAGGAGTATTGCGAAAAATCAAAATCAGGAATTTTATGTAACAATAACAAATTATCCAGGGTTGATATTACCCGTTCATTGTATTTGTCGCGACAGAATAATTAAACACTCGTAAAAACAATGCTCGGTGTAAACAGCATCGGGGGAAAAAAAGCGTGTGTTTCACGATGTGTGTATCTACAGCGCGTAATTTCGAGCGTATTAATTCGTTTCATTTGAAACAGAATGTTTTCGTCGTTCGACCAATTAAATCTCGTTTTTATGTTTGCCAATTGTTTTGACACGCGAATAGTTTAATAAAAATGTAGCACTTTGAAAAGAAATGTACCATCACAATCTGGTAATTAGTGTTACAGAAATGTGAGGTTATCAATTTTACTGGTAACATGTTTACATTTAAAAAATATGTATATCATAACTTTTGTTTCCCATTGCTTACTGTATTTATATATTAACCGTCGAACAGTGGATATTTATATATTAAAAATATGAATAATTCAGAAAATAAAAATGAGTCGAAATTCAAATCGAAATATTGCACATTTTGGCGGTCCCGCCATTCGAGGTTTAAACCACTATCATAACCTAAGCTAACAGCATGTTCGTTCTCTTAAGTTTATATCCTTGACGTTACAAAGTCAAATCATATAAACTTGTACTTTAATCACTGTTTATTAACAGTTATCAGTACTAATTCATTGTATTTGTGACATGAAAAACATAATCCAATATTGGTACCTACATGTTCATCTTCTGGAACATTCGAGCGGTACCTCCGAATACAGCCACAAGACAACTTCTTGTATTTCTCTGTAAATATTTGCAACGTTGAATTAATAATTAAAGTATGTGAATAATTAGTAATAATAAATTGTGGAAGAAAGAAGAAATTAAAACGGAACTAACAATGAGAAGCGAAGAACCACAGGTCCACAAGTTTCGGCTGCTCCCAGTAGAATAGACGCATGCACCGCCAGGGTGCGCCACAGTGTCCCATCGCCGCGCTGTACGGAGCAGTTTCTCAGATATATTCGCGCCGCTCGACGACTGTGCCGCAGCTGCTCTCGAGCTTATGGGAGGAGCGTGAGAGAAGGCCGCACCTCGAACTCCGCCTCTATCGAGTTTTCCTTTGGCTCCAGATGGCGCTGCGATCGCGATCGTCGCCGTTGCCGCGCTCCAACTCGACGTCCACCTTCTATTTTCTCGTACACGGGGGTCTTCTTACGATTGCCATTTTACGATACCCCATCTGATAGACCCATTCTTCGACCAAGATAAGAGCAAATTGTGCGAGTGTGTAAATGACAGAATAGAAGACCTCTCCGTTGTATCCTGTTGGGCTTTCTAAACCTTAAACTCTAACATATCCGAATAACACGTAACATCAAAGGTAAGGTTAATTCAATTTCACCCGCCTAAAAATTTAGGTGTACCGTATGTAAATGACAAATATATCCGATGCTTGAACAGCTGTTTTACGTTGTTGTACTTTAATGCAAAAAGATTACGATTCTTTCTGTATGAAAAGTACATACAACCAATGTGTTATGTAGCGACTACTGTCGTTCCGTTATTGTTTATCGAAGTTAACCTACAACGTTCTATTCATGATGTATTGTAAGCGTTAATCGTTGAGTGGCGAAGCATAAGCAAAAATTTTGTACTATAACGACGATCTATTTTCGAAAATTTGAATATCTAATATTAGTACAAACGCAATTGTGTATGTATCGGTCATGATTGACCCAGCTTCGAGGATTAAAAGTTTACAAATAGGGAGGATGAAGTAGGGGAGAATCAGGAGTCTTGAGACAGGCTGAAAAAGGCCGCTTTCGTCGGGTCGACTTCTCCGGTTTGTAAAAGGCGGAAAGTATCGAGCATTAATACGAGGTATCAAGGGAACTTTACTTTTGACCGTCGAATAAACAGCCCAGGGAGGCGGAAAGGAGCGTGGTAGTCCGGGGGTGGAGGGCATCGCAAAAGAGCATCGAAGTATCAGACGCGTCGGTTCGTCCTTGGTTCCCTTTATTTCCGTACCGAGGCTTTTCTACTCCCGGGTTGTCCGGTTTTTCCAAGTTCTCCGAGGGTCGGCCGCCAAGTTTATTCAGTCCGCCAAACTTTGTAGTACAGCGTGTCGACCGCCAGAGGGCAGTACGTCGACGGACAAGAGGTGGGAACCGGAACTGAACGGCTGGCACCGGACATAACCACCTCCACCCTTCTTCTCCTTGCACCGTGCTGCTCCTCCACCTCCGACGGTGAGGGCGCTCGCGCGCACACATACACGAGTCGCGCTTTGTCCGGTCTCTCGGACGCAATTAGGGTGGGTCTCGGCCTTCAACCCCCTTGGGGGTGCCCGTTCGCTAAGTAGAAAAGCGTGTATCCACCTCCGACCTCGAAAGGCGGTGGGGTTTGTGTCTGGCTGTAACGGACCACGACCGACCAAGCCAGGACAGACGGATGGACGGATGGACTAGACTGCCAGCAGCTGACTACCAACCTCGGCCAACTTACCCCCCCACCTCTGCTCCCCTTTGCTCTCCTCTGTCCACCAGTCCCACTTCCTGGACTTAGCCTTCGCTCTCCTACATCGCTTCCAAGACAAACATCCTCTCCTAGAGAACTTCACCGATCTACCTCACTACTACCACCCTCTACCCCTTGCTCCATCTCTGTCCCACACCCTCGCTCTTTATTCCTTTTTCTTCTTGGCTCGTTTTCGCTTCGCTTGTATATACAATACTTTGACCCTCTCGTTTCGTCACGTTCGATCACCGTAACCGTACAATCTCCACCGATACCTTTGTCGAGTGTTTACCGGTAGTTTGAGAAGTTAAGTACGTTAATGAAACGATTAACAGCCCGTTAGCGGATAGGGTGGAAATTTTTGTTCGACGCATTGAATATCAATTTTCACAATTTAGAGCGTCAGTTGGGTGATATTTCATGGAAGAGAAATTTTTTTTCCTTCAACGAGATAATTCTAGGGTAATTCCGTAGAATGGAAAATATTCGAATATAGGATGCTAGACATCGTTGAAGGAGATCTTAACACGGGTACGAGTTCATAGTCAAATTGAATGTGTAATGGAGGTAACTCTCGCTTGTCATTTCCCCTCGCCGACCTAACGGCATAGAAACTGCAAGCGCCTTGTAATATTACGGAATACCTACATACCATTACACGTTCCGGGGTTATATAGAGCGCGGTGCTGCAGAACCGACGATGTTCTCTTTCTTTCGCGTGTGTAATACGGTTACCAAGCACAAAAGAATGAAATTCAAGTGATAATGAATATGATTCACCGTAATTATTTCTTATTCAAAATTACCAGCTGAATAAAGCCGGAAAACACGAGGAACTAATGAACGAACAAGGTAAAAGTTACTCAAAGGTATCGTTGAAAAGGTAGCTTTACATTCTACCTTATTTCATTTCTACGCTAAATTCGCGTAATGTTCTAAAACAGAACGTATGTTGTACATAAAGTAATTCTCCTTCTACGTTTTCTATTCAATACACACGAAACATATTACGAAGCGTGAACCCTAAATTGAACAGAAATAACAGAAATAACTCTGGCTAATCATTTCCCTCGTCGAATAAGCGGGCAGACAAACTGGTAGGGTGGTGTGTAATATTACGCGGGTAGGTACATACTATTACACATCCTGCAAGGCAATGGCCAGGCAACGACGATACGCTCGGTTGGTAGGATATCCTTTGAAACACCCCACAAGGGGCTCGTTTGTCTAACCAGACCCACCCCCTTCTCGAGGATGGTAGCGTATCCAGGAGCACGTGGTTGTGCCCACTTCGTCATCGGGCACGGGAAGGCGCGAATGGAAGGGAGGGGTTGCTAGTCGGTGTTACGAGGCCGCAAGCCACCCCTACGTGTTACCAAACGGTGGTGGTAACGCTATCTTCTCGGTGGCCCATTCCGCCTCTAAATTGTGAGTAATGCTGATTATGTAAAAAGACTTTACGAGACGTTATTACCGTCGTTGCGATTACGATGTTATACGAGTCGCCGGGCGCGTTCAACCCCGTGGCGCTCGTAACTTCACCCCATGTATCTACACCTCTTTCTGGTAGCCACCTTTGCGTCTACCATTTCAACGTCTCGATCTCTCGTCTATTTGTTTCTTAAACAATACATAGTATCGATAAATTCGATTAATCTACTTTAATACAGTCAGCATTTTCAGCTGAGCTAATAAGAAATCGTTGTACCGTCAATGAAACGAAAGAACGAAAAGAACCGGCACGGCAATCACGGTTCTGCGCTCGATAGATACCGTCCGAACGAAAATGTCCAATTACACGCAACCTTACCACCTACCGAGTCGATCGCCACCGGTGAAGTTTCGTTATCGATCCCCGGCGACATAGTCGCGCGTTAATGAGGAAATCTGTGTGCGCGCGCGGCGATCGTGGGAGTATAAAGTGTCGCCGATGGTTCGACGCGTTTCTACCGGTGAAAGAGAAGAGGGCGAACAGCAGAGAGAGGATAGAATGAACGAGGTGGGAAAGAGAATCGAGCCGGAGGTCGAATCGGTCCCGGAGGGGAAGACCCGGTGCTTCTCTCTCGATACGGCACTGGCTGTAGCTGCGGACTCTGCACTGTGGACGATGATGCGCCAACGAGATAGGGGTAGATTGCAGGCCTGCCCCGCGTCCTGTTGGTGTCCGTGCGCCTGGCCAGAGCTGATACGGTCAGCCCTAGGATAAAGTAGATATTAACACGAGATGATCCGTTAATGAAGCGTATGTTCTACGCCGCGCACACGCCTAGTTCTCTCTCCACCTTCCCTCTTCCCTTCTTCTCGCGCTCTCTATTTCGCGACCACCCTCTCTCCTACCCTCTTTCCGCGGCTCTTTCTCTACCTCCGCCACATCTCTGTTTAACTCATCGACCAGTACCTACCCACCTATTACCAACAGCCTTTCCTGTTATCTTATCCGAACACCGGCAACCCAGCCGCGAATTATATTATTAACCCCCGACCACCCTGTACCTCGGTCATCTCGTCAACGAGCCAGCTTTTCGTTACTTGTTCCCAACGGAAGTGCAGCGAAACTTCGATGCTTTGCTAAGCTGTTTCGGTGGACACGTGTGCGATGATACAGGATTTTTCAGTTCATTGACATTTCTTTTATATTGTCTACTTTCAAAGTCCCTGTGACATAGATTCTGTACGAATGCTTCTAGTAAGTTAACAAAGTCCACTGACCCTTACCGTCCGTCTTTACACCTTTCGTAACAGTATCACCTGAATCTCTTCAGGTTATTAGGGTTGCCTTCCCTACCGTTCGCTATTGGCCCGATCCACTAATGCCTCTTAACCTTGTTACTTTAATAGACTATTAATACGAATCGTTGCTTTACAGACTCGACCGGAGTTTCAACACGTTCTTGGATGCCGCTCAACCGTCACCTGCCAACTATTCTAAAGGTAAGTCTCCTCACTGTGTGGACGTATGTATATATCTATAGCTCGTGTGTCTAACATCGTAACGAAAGGGGAACTCGGTAAACGATCATGGCAAAAATGTCATCCGTACGTTTTCGGTGGCCGTTGGTACGGTACCAGAAGCGAGTTCGAGCTATTAATAAGCAGTCTGTCAGAGGAGATCAAAACGAGGGGCTAACGAGCTGGCGGCAATAAAGATTCTTGCCCGGCCGAGTACATACATCGCGCGAGGCTGATTAGAAAGACGCCCGCGAAAGCTCACGAACACGCGTACCTACACGGCCGAGGAACGTTGCTCGGATGATAAATCGAGAGAGTGTTCTTTTACGAAACGTCCCCAGGCCGGATTTGTCACCGGTCCGTCGCGATTCAAGATCTGGCACCATCTACTATCCCGGTTTTATTTTAAACGGTAATTTGTCCATTCGGGATACGCACAAATCTGTCGTGCAACAATGTTTGACATTGTTGAAAGAATTTACACCGAGTTGCGTTACGATATCGG